CCTGCAATTTATTTATTTATTTATTTATTTATTTATTTATCTATCTTACCATAAAGAGCCACAGCCCTGAAGAAACACAAACCAGCCCTTCAGGGTAGCCCAGTCCATTTTCTGAGGGGACGGTTGGAGGGGGGGGACGAAGAGGATTTCCTTTCTCTGTCAGCGCCTTCTGCCCTCCCTGCCTCGAGGAGTCTGGAACGTTACTTCGGGCAAGGAACGTCTTGCGTTCCTCCTCGTTACAGTTACTTTGGGAGACCAAAAGGGAGGCGGTGCCCCAGCCCCAGCAGCTCTGCTATGTTTTGAAATGGACACTGGTTTTTTTTGGGGGGGGCTCTATTGCCTACCTAATTCCTGAGACAAAGAGCGAGTCTGCAGGTGCCCCTCAAAAAATGGTGGGGCGCGCAGGGCACTCCCTCAAGCTGTTGGGACTGCAAATCCCATCGGCCCTTGCGGCTACAGCGCGTGCGCACGGGCGCACGCGACGCGAAAGGAGGGAGGTCGCCGAAGCCTGGTCTATGGTGCCCTCTAGTGGCTCCGCGGGGTTATGCGCCTTTCCAAAGACTTCTGGAATTACTTGCCAAAAATATCTTTGGGAAAAAACAAAGACAAACACGGAGCCATGCAAACTTTTGTGTGGTTGGGCCAGCAGTTTTGCATTCCCTGACACCTCAGAAGGGCGGGCTGCTTAGGGTGTCACAGGATGTTGCAAAAGTGGACCAGGGCAAGAACTGATACCAAAACTGGTTCTGGGAAGGCGCAAGGAGAACCTGAATAAATAAATGGGTCCAGACGATGGAATGAAAAAACATGCATGCCTTCTCCAATGCAGTTCAATAACGCACCGCAGGAAGGAGCAAAGGCTTTCCTCTGCTCGATTCAGGCCAGGTTACCTTTGGAAATCAGTCCAAATCAGCCTGCGATATTTGTTCCCCTATTTTATTTATTTCTAAATTGGGTAACTGCTACATTTCAGGGCTTTGAGCTCTGATCCTTAAGGGGGTGCATGAAGAGGGGGGGAAAGCCCAGCCTCCAAAGAGCTAGCCACGTTCATCGGAGTCTTGTGGCATCTTCGGTTAGTCTTCGTCTGATGAATTTTAAACTTAATTGAATTTAATGCCACTAAATCAAAAATAAACCTGCTGCAGGGAATTAGGTTTCTTGTTAGCTGGGCTCTGTTCGGAGTGCACAGAAACTCACCGTGTCCTGACGGTCTGGCTTCCACATCTGTCCGAACCCACTGGCCGTTTGGGTCTCCCAGCCTGCTTTTGTTCCCCTGCGGCAACTCCAGCAGAGACGATCAATGGAAGGCTTGTCTTGGCAGGTCTCAACTCGTCACCTCATTGGCCACCCTCCGCATCCCATGAAAGCAACTCAACTCTCCTGAGAAAGCCAGATGGCTGCATGCCATAAAACCCGAAAGGAGAGAGCCGGTCTTTCCAGAGCTGGCCTAGATTTACCAACAGAGAGAGTGGGGGGCCTCACAGATTCACAACAAGGAACCTGTCCTTAAATTCAGATCTGATAAGAAGTGGACAGTTTTTGGGTGCACCGCCTCCTATCCTTGAAGGGGATTCTGGAAGTTTTGGTCCAGGTTTCTTGACCAAATTCCGAGGCCATGAATGTCATTCTGCACTGAGGGGTGGTTTTAGAAAACTGAAGCATGTAAACCACACCTGTGAAAGGTAAATAACGAAACTTTGGGGTGCCTTAAAAGATGAGTAGGCTTCGGTCTAGATGGGCGGGGTATAAATAAATAAATAAATAAATAAATAAATAAATAAATAAATAAATAAATAAATAAATAAATGAGCAGGTTGTATTTCATAATAAGCAGGGTTTATTCTGAAAGAAGGGTCTAAAGCTGGATCAGAAGCAACGTCTACCCAATCCCACCTTTCGTTCCCACAAGAGCCCACCAGTTGCCACGTCGGAAAAACCCACCAAAAAAGAACAAGGCCCAATTGTTCCCTTGTATCTCATGTTCTGTAACAACTGGTTAATTAATTCTGTCTTTATTTGCCAATAAATAATTATGTCTGCCTGGCTACCACCACCGGAAGCAGGATGCTGGGCTTCGTTTGCAGGTTGTTAGGCTAACCCACCCGTTTTTTCCCCCCTTCTTTTTTTGCAGTGCGTGTGTGTGTGTGTGTTGGGGTGGAAGATAAGCAATGCCCACCACTGACTTCCTCAGAAGTAACTGTAACCATCAGTTCATGAACAGTTAAAAAGTTTAATTACACTTACTCTTTGGGGACCCTCAGAATGCAGGGCATTATGGGAACTGTAGTCCAAAACAGTTATTTGTCTGAGCCTGGTGCATACTGTAAGAAAATTAGAACCAAAAAAAGATAGCCAGCGAGGGAGGGAGGAAGTAACCTCTAGGTTATCTTAGCCAAAGTTTGCCATTGCTGATAAAGCCGACAACTCACAACGACTTCTTAACCCGGCTTTAGTGCAGAATCTCCTAATCCACTTTCTCCAGCCACGAGATGTGGGAAAACAGGGATCCGATAGAGAATAGTTTTTCCCTATCCGTGTGTAGGGAAGAATACATTAGGTCTTTGCCCTCAGAAAGCTTGAAGACATCAGACTCTCCGGAAGAGACAATAATGCTAGGAAGTTCTGAAGGCAGCAGAGAAAGAGGGAGTCCCCATCCAAGATGGATCGATTCCCTTAATGGAAGCCTCAGGCTTGAATTTGCAAGAGTTGAGGACAAGACGTTTTGGAGATCGCCGATTTGTGGGATCACCGTCAGTTGGAGGCAACTTGGTGGCACAGAATACCAGCAAAACACGTTCACTGCTTTCTTAACCTCCTTGGGCTTTCTTTTTTTTTCTAACCAGCTGCAAAAGAGAGGTCTAGCAAAACAAAAATCGTACCTCCTAGGCCAGATCTGAGCATGTTTGGAGTTACCTCTCATTCCAAGTGAGAGAAAGCAAAGTTAACCAATTACAAACCATCATCACGCTTGCACAGAGGCTCCTATAAAACCCAAGTGTTGACTTATCTGCCCCCCACCCCAGCTTGCGGCTTCCTCTTCGCTTCCTCTCGGGCTGCTGTGGCTTTGCTCGGCTCTTTCTCTCTCGAGTTTCCCCCTGCAGTTTCAGGGGGGAAAAAAATATTTTTTTCAATAAACCGCCCCCAACGACAATGACAAAATCAGCAGCCAAAGCTGCTGGGAAGCACCCGTTGAAAAGACCAGTGATTTGAGAGCCAAATTCGACTGTGTGGGGCTGGGGTTTTCCCCTTGGCCCCCCCGACTTCAGAAAGTCCCCACAAACTTTCTCAGGGTTCAGCGCCCTACTTTTACTCAATTGTTATGGACCATTTCACTTTTCACTGGGTTTAAAATAAGAAGAAGAGTCAGCAGCAGCAGCAGCAGATGGAGAAACAGGCGCTCAGCCGTAATCTGAAAGATAAAGCAGGTGTTCTGGCCGACAATTCTTGCAGCGTTTGCGAGAGGTGATGCACTACAACTCCCATGGGCTGTTTGTTGGGTCAGGGTGGATGGGCGTTGCAGTCCAGCCGCTGGAGGGCTTCGCTCTGCCCAGTCCTTGCGGTGGTGGAGGGGCGAGATGCCCCACTCTGCCGCTACTGGAAAGCCATGAAAACCTGCAGGGTGGCCAGGAGGCAGTCACCCACTCAGTCTGAGGGCCTGGCCTTCCTCACAGGGTTGTCGTGATGATAAAAAATGGGAAAAGGGAACCAAAAAAAGTGAGGGGCAGTGGTTGATCGCAGGAGCAACAACAAATACAATGAGAAGAAACGTATGGGGAAATAAAAGTAAAAAATGCACTCTGGATGAACTTGTCACTTAAGAGTCAGGCAAATGGGGCTTTGGTCCTGGGTGTCAACATTCAGAGAGAGGAGGAATGTGCAGGTGAGACAGATGTGGCCCTGAGCAGATGTGAGCCACCTCCAGCCACTTCTCCACTCACGAGGAGCTAACCTGTGACGCCTCGGCCCGAAGGAGACGGCGTCCGCACACTGGGGCACGCCAGGCCACGTCACCGTGGGCGTGGGTGAGGCAAAAGAGAGAGGCAGAAATGCATGGAGCCAAACCTTGTCTGGTCTCGTCCAAAACTGAACCGTCCACTTGAGCAGGAAAAAAGGTATTTGAGGGGGAGAGGGAGGGGGGGGGAAACACCCCGCGGGGCAGAGGCGTGAACCGAGAGGTTGCTGCCTCGGCTCTGAAACAGGCAGACCGTCCCGGTCCTGGCCACTCGCCTCTCCATCCTCTCTCTGTCGTCGGGCGTCCGTATGGTAGCCAGGCAGCTGCTCGCTCGTTGGGTCTGTGAAGAAGGAAAGGGAGACTCTGAAGTCAGCCGAAGGGGCGGGCCGCCCGCCGGCTCCCTCGAGGAAGTCTTGGGTCGGGCAACCCTCTCGCTGCTGCTTCTCTTCCCTGCCAGCTGTGGCTCCTTTCTCTCTCCCCCCGAGGCCCCCAAGAGGTCTCTGGGAGACACGGGCCTGAGCCACCCAACCTGGGAGGCCTGGGTAAGTGACCGACACTTCAGGGGTGGCGCTGGATCGAGCCGGGCCAGGGAGACGGAGGCCAGACTGCTCTGGGGGGCGAGCGCTCTTTCCCTTTGGGTGGGACTTTTTTTTTTAAATCATTTTCTCCCCAACGAGTTGCGACAAGCCACCCAAGGTTGACTCACCGGAGCGGTAAATGGTATTGACAGAGTGTGTCCCTGCAAGGAAGGATCGGGGGAAACAGGGTTGGGTCTTCCTTCCCAGAAGCTGTGCTTTTCAGGTGGAGGCTGAGAGCTGCACGCAGTAAGCATCAAACCGCAGCACCTCTGGGCATATGCAGAGAGCGTGACCCTGTCCTCCTGGCCAGAGAGAGCTCAAAGCGTTTGTGACTGGAAAGGGCCCCTTTAGGCACCTGTTGTCCGTGGGAACCACGCCGTGGCTGGAAAGCCGGGCCGGCCACTCGGACACGTCACTCTGGGCCGCGGAAGTCGTGGGTGCGCCTTTTGCACCTGTCCTGAATCTCCCGCACGGGGCAGGTCCTCTCCCTGCTCCCCCCTCTCTCTGGGTTGTGTGTGTGTGTGTGTGTGTGTGTGCGTGCGTGCGTGTGTGTGTGTGTGTGTGTGCGCGTGTGCGTGCGTGTGTGTGATTTCACACACACACACCGCCTGTTAAATTTCCCCATTAGCTGTTTTTTTCAACTTCTCCTTTTGGCATGAGACGCCGGAAGTCTGCAAAAAAAAAGACACACACAGCATCTTCTGCTGTTCTGTTTTGGCTCTCCAAAATTATCTGTGAGCGTTTGCGTGTGGACGGAGGGGCAAGAGGCCCACACTGGAAAGCACCCGAGCCCCGCCAAAAGTTCCTTCTTCTTGTTCCCCCCCTTGTGCTGCAAGCTCTCCTTTGGCCCGAATGTCACCTCCCCCCCCTCCGCCCGCCGACGTGGCCAGGGCGAATTGGAGAACCTGAAGAAAGAGGAACTGGTGCCGGCCGAGAGGGAGAGAGACCCTTGCGTGGCATGATTCTGCCATGGCTCTCGGCCATGCACCGCGCAGCACCGAGCAGAGAGGGTCCTTCCAGGGTGCAGCCCTAAACGCCCGTTGAACCCGTGCTTGTGGGTTCGGTCTCCAGGCCGGGGAGGCCTCTTGAGATGAGAATGAAAGACGGTGAAGCCAAGCCACCAAGAAGCAACGCCTTGTAAAGATCTGCCTTACGGTGCCCGTGTGTCTTCCTTTACAGGCAACAGTCCTCCTTGCTTTGAAGGCTACCGATCCCGTGTGCGGTGGGAAGAGAAAGAAGCCTCTCAAGCCCCGAAGTTCTCAGGCCGTTGTTCACCAGGAGCAGCCGCTTGACTGTCCATGCTGAACGGGAGGTGAGAAGCGTTGCAGGGGGTGGCTGAACTGCAAAAAGAACAATAACAACATCTCAAAATCCATGTCGCTTTGGCCGTTGTGCGTATCGCTCAGCCCGTAAACCTTTCTAGAAATGGAAGCCCTCTTTTTTCGACGGAGTGGCCACGGATCTCTGAGGCCTGCCTCCTTGCTCCTCCACCCCACCTGCTTTTTTTGTCTCTGTTTTTTCCTGTCTTTCGCTTCTTCCCCCGCTTAAATTAAGACACACACACATCCCTTGTCCTTCCCCAAGGAATCTGGCGGCAGGCCAGGAAGCCAATTAAAAAAAATATATAAGGGGAAATAAAAAAAAAACCCTCCAGCTTGCAAGCTAACTAATTAACATCCTCCCTCTCAGAACCCAGCAATTATTAAAAGACACAGGATATACAACGTGTGACTCACTTGTTTGCTGGAGAGCCGCTCTTAAACCCTCGCACCCGGATCTACCGCGCAAATCTTCCCGTTTCCTTGTCTCCCTGGGTTTTTCAAACAAGAGGTGTGAAACAGGACCCTTGGAGCTGCGGTTTCTGAGGGCAGGCACCAGATCACAACATTCCAGGTCAGTTCCAGGTACGGGAGGAGTGGGAGAGATAGCCCTGGCTGGACGTTCAGAGCGCCTACCCATAATCCCCTGAACCAGAGGATTCTGGGACGCCTGCAAAGGGGTGGCAGCCGGTCGCTAAGGCTGGTCTGGCGGGGACGCTTTTCCCGGCACGGCGGGCACGCTTTGAACCACGCCATCCCAGCGGGCGGCTTATTGACCTGCACGGAAACCGAGGAGAGCAGGACCGAGAGGGGATGCTTGGCCATCATTGCGTAGGCGATGGGAAAGGGAGCGAGCTGGCCTTCGGTTGCCCTGGACTAGACTAGAAGGTGGGACTTTGACCAGTAAACTCCAGTTATAAGAAGAGGGGGCTCTCAGTCCCATCAGGCTCAGCCACCCTGGCTCATGGGAGTTGTAGTGCCAGAGTGTTTCCCACCCTCTCTACTGAAGGAACTGGAGTTTGCAGATTTTGACGGCCTTTGTTTCCTTGTTCACCCAGAGTTTCCTGCTCTAACTCTGAAAAGTGCTTGAAGGATCTGGACAGTTAGCAAAGTTCTTCCTTTCCCTGGGATTTAAAGGGAGCCTCTTGAACCTTCCATTGTATGATCTCTCTGAAGCCGAAACGGTTGATGGTGGAGGGCAGCGAGGCACCGCCGGGGATCAGGACCGGAGGTGTTTCCCCCTCTCCCGCCTTGCCTTGAAGTAGTACTTGCCGCAACCGTCTTCAGGAAGAAAGGAGGGCAGTCGTGGGATGAGAAAAGGATGAAAACAGGAAACCCTGGGGCACATCTGTTGAGGTGGCAGGCGGGTGAGACACACACACACACACACACACAACACGGGAAGGAAGCGTTGACTTTAACAATGCTCTCCAGCCTCGTGGAAAGCCAGGCTTCAAAATCTCCTTGCAGGTTTTCTTCTTCACTTCCTTTCTCTCTCTCTCTCTCTCTGTCCACATCTGGTCTGTCCAAACGCTTTGAACAGGCCTTCGCGAATACATTGCTTTGAACAGGATTCGAAACCTCTTCTGAAAGAGGAATTAAAAAGAGAGAGAGAGAACAGGGAATCAAGAAGCAGAAACGGAGTAGATTGTTAGAGGTCTTTCAAGTTTAACTTTTTTGTATGCTTTGTTTTGGCTGTTCTGTTTGGTTTTTAAAGCAATTTGCTGTTTCTGGGATGCTTTTAAGAACAGCAGTCATGCTGTGTGGTCAAGTCAGGGTTAATGCTTTTAAGAACAGCAGTCATGCTGTGTCGTCAAGTCAGGGTTTTCCAGGCAGAGAACACTCAGAAGTGGCTTTCCTGTTCCCTTCTCTCTTTTTTGGGGGGGGGGAGAGTGTCCCCTGGGATTGTACAGCTGGCCCAAGGCCTCCCAGGCTGGCTCTTCTCCCAGGAGGCCCCGTGGGGTGGGGTGGGGTGAGGAATCAAACTCCCAACCTCTGGCTCCACAGCCAGATGTTTAAGCCACTGACCTAAGGCTAGTATTTTACTGGAAGCCATCCGGAGGGTTTCCTAAATCCAGAGGTGTGTGTTTGCTTATATGTTTCTTTTGACAACAACTCCCAGAAACACCCAGCTAGCTTGGCCACTGGGCTTCCGAGGCTTGTAGTCCAAGGGCCAAGCCCAGTTGCTAGTCACAACTAGAGCAGATATGTTGAATCGATGGGATTTACACCAAGGCCTACGGCCGTAACGCTCAGCATTATTTAAGGTGTCTACTCTAGTTTTGATCAGCTGCTGGATCTCAGATCAACAAAGTAAGTCATTCTCTCTCTCTCTCTCTCTCTCTAGCCAAGATGGAGACGTTCAGCTCCCGCAACCTGGCCCTGCAAGCCGAGAAGAAGATCCTCAGCCGGATGGCCAGCAAGTCCATGGCAAACATGTTCATCGACGACACCAGCAGCGAGATCCTGGACGAGCTCTACCGGATCTCCAAGGAGTACACCCAGAACCGGGCCGAGTCCCAGAAGGTCATCAAGAACCTCATCAAGGTGGCCGTCAAGATCTCCGTCCTCTACCGCAACAGCTGCTTCAGCGAGGCGGAGCTGAACTGGGCCGAGGAGTTCAAGCAGAAGCTCCACCAGGGAGCCATGACGGCCATCAGCTTCCACGAGGTGGACTTCACCTTCGAAAAGGCCGTCCTGGCTGAAATCCTCCAGGAGTGCCGGGACCTGCTGCTGAGGCTGGTGGAGAAACACCTGACGCCCAAGTCCCACGGGCGCATCCGGCACGTCTTCGACCACTTCGCTGACACGGAGTTCCTGGCCTGCCTCTACGCGCCCGGGGGCCCCTACCAGCCACGCCTGAAGAAGATCTGCGACGGGATGAACCGTCTCATTGACGAGGGGAAGCTATGAAGGCGTCCGGAGGCGGCGGAGAAAGGGCGAGGGCAAGCCGGAGGCCGGAGGGCAAAGACAAAACGCGAGACATCTCACAGACCCCACGAACCTGGAAGCCGTAAAGCGTTTCATCGGCTTCGGGAACCATCAACGCGACCGGTGGCGTCTCCTGTGGTCTAGCTGACGGGCGACTCCTCTTCGCCTCCACGGCCAGAGTGGTTCACTCTGTGGGGCCCACAGCGGCCACCGCATTTGGAGGACAGGGCATGGCTCCAATAGAGACACCCCTCTGGCCACTAGAACGCTCTCCCATCAAACCCGTCCTCATAATTTCTAAACTTAGCAGCTTCATATGGCAGCTCATAAGGACTAGAAACTTGACTTTTTTGTGAGTGGAGGAATGAACTCTTTTCTATAGAATGGCGGTGGGGTAGAGACAGAACTTCTCAGTTTCTCCGGTGAGATACATTTGCCTTATTCCTTGCTAAACTTTCCTGGCCTATTACCGGGGGGCGGGGGGAGAGAAGTGGGGAAGAAAATATACATACACTTGAATATTGTTTTCTGATAAACTCTACTTTCTGCTGTGAATTTCCTGCCACAAGCCATAGAAACGATTCTTTGAAAGACAGATCAAGTGGTTTTTTTTTAAAAAGATGAACTTAGAAGTTATTCTGTTCTGCTTTTTGAGGGGAAGTGGATGAAGAAACCCCAATTTAGCTAGGATTTAGCCTTGCTCCCTGTTTCTGTAACTGAAGCTGAAAACCCCTTTTGCAGCAGCTTTGCTCTGGACATGGTAGTTGAGGACGGTCTCTGGCTGCTAGGAGACTACACACTAAGGGCCAGGGGCCTTATTCCAGCGACAGAAAGGGCCAATGGACGAGGGAGCATATGTTTAACTTTAAAATGCCAGCATATTTTTACTTTATGGCTGTCACTCTTGGGGACCTAAGTGAAGGCATTTTGGCCTTCCAAAGTAATCATTCAAAAAGAAAGGGCAAAAGCTAGGAAAATCTCAAATTAGAGGGTGTGGGGGGGGAGACTGCTGGGGGTCGAACCCCACGGAGGTTGGAGGGGAACTTCCATGAGGGCCGGACTCAGCTCTAGGGTTCCTGAGAGTTGAGGGTTTCTCCCATCCTGAGAATCCGTAGGGTAGCCTCATCCGTTGTTCAAAAGCAGAGCCCCACATTGCCAAAAAAAGGGGGCAGGTTAAGCAACTGGAGGGCTTCTCCCCCCCCCTCACCCCACAGGGGATCTGCCCCAGGGTTTCTTTGCTTCTTTGCCATTTTGCGGGGGGGGGGCAGTTGCTAATATTCTCAGGGAATTTTCTGGGTCATGCTTCCTCCTTTGCCCCTTTTGACTCAGGGAATGAAAATGTGGAAATAAAACTTTTACACTCGGCCTTTTTGAAAAGCCAGGGCTCTGCTTCCTTTCAATCCTCGGTGGGGGGGGCTGCTCCGAACCACTCTCGGCTCTGGGTTCAACTCCTCCGATCCTTGACTGTGTGCCGCCGCCCCCCCCCACCCCCAAGAACTCAACAGACTCCAGGGGCCGAACAGCACCCCTTCCACCGAGTCTGCTGGGAGTTGTTCTTCCAGCAAGATCTGAGAGGACATCGCTCCCCAGGCCAACCCCTGCCACAGCCCAGCAGCCTCTGGATGTGTCAGAATACAATTCCCATCATCCCCTGCTAGGTTTGTGGTCTCACCGTTAAAAACAAAACAAAACAGTATTGACTCAGAAAGATAAACAATGGCTGTTCTTTCTTTAAAAAAGTAGAAGGGGGAAAAAAGCTGTATAATAATATCTCATTAGCTTTTGTAAAACGGCCTGAAAACTCCACAGAGTCATTGAATCACGGCCTGGTTCCTATCAACACAAGGGAGGCTCCCACAGGCAAGGAAGAGGGAGACATGTTTCAAAAACAACAACAACAACACCAGAGCAAAATGATGTCAACGAACATTAGCTGGCTGTTTTAATCCCAGGGGTAGGTAGTTACAAGCGTCACGGGGGGGTGGGGGTGGGGTGGGAGACCCATGACAACATCGAAACAGGAAAGACACAAAACCTTGAGGCCGGAGGGTCAGATTGGAGCAGTTCATTCATTCATTCATTCTGCCCCTTCGGAGGGGGGGGGTCCAAGGAGGCACGCGGGGCTCCCCTCCCACCAACCGTTGTGATCGCCCCAGGTGACTCCAGGTGAACATCAGGACAGACTCCGTGCAGGACACGCGAGTGACTCTCATTTCTTTTCCCATTTTGAGGACCGAGGAGGACAACACAGGAGAGACAGCACTGGAGGCAATAAATAGAAAGATCCAGGGCAAAGGAAGGGTGACGCCGCTCCCCCCTGCAAAAAAAACCCACACACCATGGGACAAAGAATCTCCCAAGCCTCACACGCGCGTGTGCACACAAGCAGATAGAAAGAGTCCATTCACATCTCAGGGGCAGGAAAAAGATGGACGACACAGTTGTGGCGCTCCGCTGGAGACCTCCTCCGCCTTTCCCTGCTGGCCGCCGGCGCGTCCCCAGAGGACACCCTCAGCGCCTCCTTCCGGAAGGACCTTCGAACCCTCAGGCTTTTGGCAAAGGGACGGTTCCCTCTGCGGGAAGGAAAGCGCAGCGGGGGGGGGAAGGCCAAAGGGGCCGGGCTGTAGGGCACACCCGCCCGCCTTAGCCCCGGAGTCTCAGGGAGGTCGCCAGGATGGAGGGTGGGAGGCAGGCGGGGGGAGGGGGCTCTCAGAGCTTAAAGATCTCGTCCTCTTGATCCCGAAGGGTGTCAGCCCGGGCAATTTTGGTGAGCGGCACTGGGCCGAGGATGGCGTGCTGCTGGCCGCGTGGCAAAGGCTCGTTCTGATAGGAAGAAGAGGCATCGGATGGACCGCCGGACCCCGGATCATGCCCAGAAGCCCTAGAAGAAGAAGAAGAAATGAGGCAACCATGTAGGGGGCAGTGAAAGGAAGAAGAGAAGTCAGGCTCCAGCTGTGATTGCTGCTCCGGAGGATCTGGGAACACGTCCCTCCCTCGTAAGAGAAGCCCGCTAGGCAGACCGAGGCGCCACAAAGCCCCATTTCCTCTTTCCAAATAGGGTCAGCCACAGCCTGGGAAAGACAGCGTGCAGGGTGTCGTAGTCCATCTCCCCCCACAGGCCACCCCCCCCAAACATGCAGGGAGTCTCCATGTCTCGAGGCTGGGCCTGCCTCTGAATAATAATAATTATAGTGTGTGGGATACAGGCAGATCTCCGGATGGTCTCGCACTCGGTGTCCCTCTGGCTTCAGCCTGCTTTACCCTGTGGGCCCTTGAACCCAGATCCGTCACATCCTCTGACCACTAGACCAGGCTGCCTCTCTCCAACACAACGGAGGCAGCCTAAGGAAGACGCGGCAGGTTCTGCCAAACAGCCCCTGGCATGAGATGCGCAACAGCACATGAACCAGTGTTTTTGACAAGAGGTGTCAAAAGCACCGGGGGGGGTGGTGGTGGCAGGGGGGTTGAGAAGCACGCCCACTCCACCACCTGCGCATCTCGTGAAGAAAGGGAACAGAATGGCTCCCCTGGGCCTTCCCACCACCTGCCAGGAAAGATCATGGTCTGCAGCAAACACAGACACAGAGAAAGACGCCTCCCCCAATCCCCCCCCCACACACATTGCAAGCAAAAATACTGTAATTTTAAAAAAGGAACAAAGTTTTGGCAGAACAGCCAAGCTGCACAGACCAAAAGCAAATCAGAAACACTGCCTCTGCCTACAGGAGCCTCCCTCCAACCGGAAGCCTCCGTGGGGGCCCCATCCTGTGCGTCCCACCACTCCCAGAGGGCAGGGCCTTCTTTGCAGCTGCGCCCGGATGGGGCAACCCTTCCCACAATGTAAATCAAGCCTGTTAAGTTTCTGGCATGCCGCTCAAATTCCCTTACTCTGCAATGAATGAAGACCTGTATTAACTAATTAAAGAAATCTAAGTGTTAATGGGCCCAGGGCTTCGGGTGAATCTATTGTTCAGAAGGCTGTCGCTTCAGACCTTAAGACGATTGCAACTGCCCTTACCTTGTGAAAAGATGAGGGCATGTGCTGGCTGCCTTTGCACTGAAATCCATTAACATATGGAATAACTCAAGGCCACACATAAGGAAATATAAATGTACTGTTCTTGACAAGTACACCCTGATGGCTGCAGAATTCAGCAACAAGCTCCTCCCCTTGATGTCTTAGGTCAGTAACTCAAGCTGGAAGAATAATCCAAAAGCTTCTGAACTTTTTCCATCCCTAGCATGATACCCAAGCAGGAAAAACCCTAAAATATACCGCCACAAAAAAAGCACAGTACTCATATATTACTTTCTCCCACAATACAGCTTGGCTCACTAGCCCCGAGTCGCCTAAATACAAGACTCCATGAGCAGCTTTCCAACCACACTACTTGCTCTTGGCTTGCGGCATGACCCGATCCAACCCCTCCGAAGTGAGGGGACCCCGGCAGTGACCCCCGGGCAAAAGGAGACTCAGGAGAAACTCACGGGCTCTCCCCCTCGCGCAGCTTCTTGGCAGCTGCCTGCTTCGACCGGCGGATCTCAGAGTCCAGCTTGAAGAGGAAATCCATCGCCGAGAGATCGTGTTTCGGGGCAGCGCCCGAGGCCCCGTTCTTACGGGGGTGCTTTTGTTTTGTGGTGGCTTCCTGTGGATCAGCTCCGGCCTCATCGTCTATCTTCTTCTTCTGTTCCTCTTCCTCATCCTCATCGAGATTTAACCCATTAGAGAGCCCTCTGGGTTCGAACGGCACCGGGATGTAGAGATGCTTTTTGAGGAAAATGGAGTCATTGGTATAAAGCCGGTTTGCCCTTTTGATCTGCTCAGTCTGAAACAAAAACAAAAGAGTTGCTCAACGGGGCTGTGTCTCTTCCCACCCCCAATACTTCCTCAAATAAAAATAATAAGAAATAAGTTCCGTCATGTCACCCTCCTAAAGTGTTAGGCAACAATCTCCATCATCCACTGTATGCATGCTAGCTGGGAGTGATGGAAGTCGTTGTCCAAGACCTTGTGAAGAGGCCATGTTAGGGAAGACTGATTTATACAGCAAAATAAGATCTGGAATGTTATTTTTGAAAGCATAAATGTTTGCTAAGCCTCCAAATTATGTCTCCACGGTTATAAAATTATGCTTGGGTGCCGGAGAGAGACATTCTTTTGTCGGCCTCTTTCATAATATCAGAACTTGTGGTTACTGAGTAAAAGTCTGTGACGGGAAATTTAGGTCAGAGAAAAAGTAATGCTCGAGTGGGTTTTTCCCACCCAGCTCAGCATCAAGGGAGATAACACAACCTACGGGACTGGTTGAGTCTGGATGCATTTCAGTGAGATTGGAGTTAATTTTTAGCCACTATATTTAAATGAGGGGGGAAAAAACAAGCTCTGCTTTTAAAGGCAGTGTATCAGAATCCTAAATGTTGGGGATAAAACCAGACAAATTTACAGACTTGATATTAAGAGGTGTGCAAATATTCTTCTGGCTAACTACCCTCTCCTCTGTGAACGTCCTGCAAAACTATCCCGCTCGGACATAAACCCGTTTTAAGGTCCAGACTCACCGTGACCCCGTACTTGACCGCCAGCCCCTGGAGGGTGTCCCCGGGTTCCAGACGATGCTCCACTCGCCTCTCCCGCACCGGGGAGCTGACGGTCTTCACCAGGCTGCCGTAGGATCGGGTCCGACTCCCCTGAAGCAGCCCACCCCCACCAGGGGAGCCCTGCCTGGAAGGAGAGGCCATGACAAGCCCCCCCCCAGGACTCAAATCTGGACCCTCTCTACCCACCCTCAACGTCTGGCCTTGTCGAGTCCCCCTCAAGCCACGGGGGAGGCGGGGGGGGAGGTTGATCTTATGGGGCTGATCCTATGGCAGCCCCCACTGCTTCCCACCCGGGGGGGCCCATGGCAAAGCCCCCCCCCTCCCCAAACCTGAGTTCACCCTGCAGGTTCCACCCACGCCCAGATGCGCCTGACTTGAACCCACGGCTCAG